CAGCATAAGCATGTTAGCGGCAATCGCACCAGCATCATGGCCCATAAGAACAACTGAATTCGTGTCTCCATGGAATTGAGATATTTCGGATTGCACCCATTGTAGAGCCATAATTATATCTCGTAACCCATAATTACCGTGAACTTCATTAGTGTCAGTAGAAAGGAAACCTAATGAACAAAAAATTGATTAGTTATTAATCAAGTTAAACGAAAATTAATACCAAATCACCCAAAGGTCCTAATCGATAGTTGATAGTTACAAACACAAGAGAGTTAAGGTTTTGAGGTAAAACATCCAGATAATAGAAATCTTTGCCTCCATACTTGAACTCTCCACCATGTAAATAAACTACAACAGGAGCATTCGCTGTAACTGGACCCTGAATAATTGATAAAAATAAATAACAATTAGCAAATCATGATTGAAAATTTACAATTTTATGGAAGCTCAATACTCAAAGTAATACTTTCAAGCCTTTTATTTGAAAATTGATCGTAATTATGACTTTATAATATTTGCTGTGTGAAGCTGCGTTGTCTCCACTTGTAACATAAATTTCATTCTTTGATTGAAACTGGTGATTTGAAGTAATGAACTTGTCACTTTTTTAATCATAATGATATAAAGAAGAGTAAATTTACAATTAACTTACAATTGAAAATGGTGAGAGATGAGAAACCAAAAGAGGTTCCCTCTCTTTTTAGGAGCCTCCTCTTTAATCAACAAAACAAATGATGTTTCCGGTTGATATTATATAACATACATAAAATAATAATTACGATTATTGAAAGACACAAATTCAAAATAAAAATCATATTAATGTCCTAATAATTTAATAATAATTTAATAATAATTTCCGTAAGTAATTTTAGTAGCTGACTTAACCTAGTCTCTTCATTTTAACGGTAATATTCAAATGTGGGGGACTGCATGTCAATAAACAAATGACTAAACTCGGAGGGTAAAGACTTTAATTATAATACTTTCTTCCTAATTTACTAATCAATATGACAATAGTTTATAACCTTGATGACCTTTTCATTTCAATCAAATTTATCGTACAAATGAGTAATAATAAAACAATGGGCTGGAACAATTCTGGATGATTTAGCATCGATAATCTTGAACTTATTTACTAAAAAATTTCACTTTTTTCCTGAATATAAAATGTCATTTTAATTTTAATTTAACAATAATATTAATACTCATCATGATATTGAAGCAAGTCAAGGCAAAACTGTAAATAAGTTAATAAACAATTTGGTGACTCATTCAATTTAAAGATAACGAGACAAGTAAACAACAAAGCAATTTATCTTTTCATTTGAACAAAAACAACATGAAAAATGGCTTGACGAAACAAATTTCAGAATGAATCACGATGATCTTGAAAAATTCAAGACTAGGTTGACTTGGTGATGATTATTCATTCACTCATTCCCAGATTAACTTGAGATATACATTTGTTTAAAACTGTCAATTTCGATTCGTTTATATCAAACCCTGATACATTGGTTGATTAAACTAATCAAATGAAAGGAATGAAGAACAGTTGAAATGAAGGAAAAGTAACTTACTCGACTAAGAACTTGAACATTGAGATAAAGACAATCTTCAGATTCACCAATTTGAGGGTCTGACTCAAGTCGGAATCTCTGTTCAACCTGTGGACACATAACTCGACGATTGGTAGCGTCCAGGAAACCAGACCATTTTACTGGTTCTTTTGGGTTCTTGAAAAAGCAAAAGACAATAAAAAGTGTTAAAAGGTGTAAAATGAAGTGATAAAATGGGTGTCAAAATATGAGTGAAAATAACTGTGCAAAAGGTGTGAAGCTGAATGGGAAAATTTCAATTAAATGCAGAAAATTACGACTGCTGGTTATTTCATGGAGCTATCAGTTTAGGTCGTTTTATATGTAATTATACAAGTGATCATTTTACTTACAGAAAACCGACCGCTACCCACTGGTGGAGACGCATAAGGTATACCAATGAAGGAAGTGATTCTCAAATCACTTGGATAATTTCCCACTGGAGTGTCTCTTCGACCTCGGATGTGACCATAACGAGTACTCACTACTGGATTAACATCATCAATTGACCAGCTGTAGGTTACATTTACAAATGAAATGCCAATAAAAAGGAATGAAAAGAAAACAAAATGAACAATAGACATGGTGAAAAGTGAAGAACGTTATGTTGTAAAATGTGTAAACAAATGAAACTGTCGGACAACAGAAGCTGTAAAACCAACGAAAAAGCTCAAAGTTTGTCAAGTATTGAAGCCAATTAATCAATTTAGATTGTTATAACACTAATACTGAATAGATGAACACAAATAGAGGATTAGATGTGGAGATGATTGTTAGTTAATGATAATGGTGTTGTTGTTGGTTGGTTAAACAGCATTCTGTAAATTAGTTGAAATTGGATGGTTCAACTTGAACTTTTATTCAGTTTAGCCAACGGTTGTTGAGTGAGGAGGCAAAAGTGAGTTAATCAATGTGAGAAATGATGAAAATTGTGAAGATATAGACGAAGATGGAAGTAGGAATGAAAAGCGAAGAAGGTTGATGTTAAACAATAAACAGACAATTCTTGATAAAGTCTAGTATGAGTAACTTCCTACTCTAGATTAGTGGTAAACAGAATCAAACTGAGTAAAGGTAACAATTGGAGCAATTGCAATCAAACGATCAAACCTTTGACAATTTAAGTGAATTTAAAATGGCCACCATAAATTTTAAACAATAGAGACTCATTACTTACAGACCAAGTTTAATTTACATCCAAATGTCACCATTCAAGCTAAAAATTAGAACTGAATATATTGTAGAGTCTAAGAAATTTTAAATTAGAAATGTAAATACAACACTAATTAAAAACAATTGAAGTGTTAAATATTCATATTGCTAGATCAATTAGAGTACTCGTATGAAATATTTAGGAATCAAATAGCGGAGTATTGTTAGGTTGGTATCGACATATGTTTGCCAACAATAAGATCCATTACGATACTTTAAGAGTAACAATAGATGAATGATAACATCTTTAACTTAACATTGTTTTTTCCTTGTTTTTTTTTAATTTTTTAATTTTTTAATTGTAATTGAGTTTTTATTTTTTAATATGTAAAGTTCAATGGATCGAAAAACCAACGAAGACAAGAATAATGGACCAGAAAATTGTGTTTGGAGGAAAATGGGATCTTTCACGTTAACTCAATTTGACAAGATGATCCTTGAATCTGAAAAGGAGTGGATAACCGATTCTATAATAAACG